CCGCCCCCGCGACGCCGGCTGACCGCCCCCGCCCGCAGGTAAGGCCTGGAAGGAGCTGAGCGCGGCGCAGAAGCGGCCCTTCGTGGACGAGGCGGAGCGGCTGCGCGTGCAGCACCTGCGGGACCACCCCAACTACAAGTACCGGCCGCGCCGCAAGAAGCAGGCGCGCAGGGCCCGGCGGCTGGAGCCCGGCCTCCTGCTCCCGGGCCTGGCGCCGCCGGCCAGGTCCCCGCCAGAGCCTCCCGTGTGCCTCTGCAGCCCCGACACGCCTCCAGGGGTATTTTCAAGCCCGCGCGTTCGGGCGCGCGCGCAGCTGGGGGTTGCGCCGAGGCCGCCGCGCCCAGAGCTAACGCGCTTGTCGCCTGTGCGCGCAGGAAAGTCGTGGAAGGCGCTGACGCTGTCCCAGAAGCGGCCCTACGTGGACGAGGCGGAGCGGCTGCGGCTGCAGCACATGCAGGACTACCCCAACTACAAGTACCGGCCGCGCAGGAAGAAGCAGGCCAAGCGCCTCTGCAAGCGCGTGGACCCCGGCTTCCTCCTGAGCTCCCTCTCCCGAGACCAGAACGCCCTGCCCGACAAGCGGGCCTGCGGCCGGGGGGCGCCGGGGGACAAGGAGGACGGCGGTGAGTACTCCCCGGGCGCCGCCCTGCCCAGCCTCCGCGGCTGCTTCCACGAGGGGCCGGCTGGCGGCGGAGCGTCCAGCGCGGACACCTACCCCTACGGGCTGCCCACGCCGCCGGAAATGTCGCCCCTGGACGTGCTGGAGCCGGAGCAGACCTTCTTCTCCACGGCCTGCCAGGAGGAGCATGCGCACTCCCGCCGCATCCCCCACCTGCCCGGGCCCCCCTACTCCCCTGAGTACGCCCCCAACTCGCTCCACTGCGGGCACCCCCTGGGCCCCCTGGGGCTGGGCCAGGCCCCCAGCGTCTCCGTGGTGTCCTCTCTGCCCGGCTGCCCCCCGTCCCCTGCCTATTACTCCCCAGCCGCCTTCCACCCTCTGCACCCCAACCTGCACGCCCACCTGGGCCAGCTCTCCCCGCCTCCCGAGCACCCTGGCTTCGACGCCCTGGACCAGCTGAGCCAGGCGGAACTCCTGGGGGACATGGATCGCAATGAGTTCGACCAGTATTTGAACACTCCTGGCCACCCGGACTCTGGGGCGGGCGCCGCGGCCCTCGGGGGGTCTGCCGCGGGCCCCCAGGCGACGCCTCCGTGCGCCTCGGAGACCAGCCTCATCTCCGTGCTGGCGGACGCCACGGCCACCTACTACAACAGCTACAGCGTGTCCTAGGGCACCCAGGGGCGCCCAGCCCTGGCGCCCGCCTGTGGTCAGCTGGGGAGCGCGGAGCCCCCAGCCGGGCCCAGTAGCGCCCGCCTACGGGTCAGCGGGTCTGCACCGCCCCCCAGCAGCGCTGCAAGGGGCCCACCCTGGAGCCGGACCCCAGGCCCCTCCCCGGGCCCTCGGGGCTCCACCTGGCTAATCGGCGCCTGTAGCTGGACATTGCTGTTTCCTGGTCGCAGCGCCCGCGGCCCTTCCCGGCGCCCCTCGAGGAGGCAAAGGGCCAGGAAACGCGGCGGCCACACCTGGCCTGCTGAGGAGTGGTCACAGGGGCTGCCTGATCTGTGGGTCCTGCAGATGAGGGGAGCAGAAGCCAGACCCCATGCACCCCCAGAGGCGGGAAGCGCTGGAGGGCCCCGTGATAGTCAGGGCGGACAGTCAGGGCGGACGAGAGGACAGCAAGGAGAGTCCGGAGCCCGCCCCAGCCAGGCCCGCGGTCGCCTGCTTCCTCCTGCTTCCCGCCAGGGTGTCCCGGCCCGGTTCCGGTCTGAGCAATGACTCTCCTGATTTGGGCAACTAACCAGGGTGATGGCGGCACTCCTGAGACCCGGAACCAAGCCGATTTCTTTACACGCTGTTTTAGAAAAGTCCTGTTCACGCCACGAGTGAGTGGGCAGGGCAGGAGGGGGCCAGGAGAGGCGCATCTCCTCCGGGAAGCAGAAAGCAGTCGGATAATCCCTCACTGAGGCCGCTGGGCGACTTCCTGCCCGCCCCCCCACAGACCAGGGGCCGAGAATCTGGAGAATCTGGCAAAGCAGGCCACTTTCCGCCCGCCCAGCCCCGTGAGGTCTGAGCTCTTCCGGCTCTGGCTCCCTTTCCTGGGTAACTTCTCTGGCCGCTCTCCCTCCGCCCCCAGTCGGCACTGTTTTGAAGGAACCCGCCCGCCCGTATGAATCCCAAGCCCGGTTCTGGGGGCTCGGGCTCGGCTCGGTGGGGGTCTGTCTCCCGTTCAGCGACAACCTGGGAACACTGGGAGACACTTGGGAGTGACGCTTGGCTTGACTCAGGAAGGGTTTCCGAGTCCGCCCCTCGCCCGCCCCCCAAGGTCCATCCTTCCCCCCAACCTCCGTTGAAGGAACATACCCAGCCACCGACACTGTTGTCGTGAGTCAGCATATCATGCTTGTATGAAACGTGTTTATATATTCGCCTGTTATGTTCACCTTGTATTTTAGATTGTTGAAAGACCCTTTTTTCTTCCAAGTGTCTTCCTGTAAGATCACTTATAAGATACGATCAATAATTACGCGATTACTGGATACGACATTTGGCAACGAGTAGCCAATCATTGACAGTTTGGTGCAGAGCAGAGTACGTGCGAGTGGCCTTGGCAGGTATCAAGCTGACTGTTCCAATTTTGGGTAAGAACAACACACGCTTTGGGCCGGTTGTAGTTATCGACTTGTCTGAGATATTTAATTTAAATAAATGTTTTTGTATCACGACCGTTGGAGCGTTTGAATTCGTTTTGCAAAAGCAAGAGGCCTCCGTGCCAGGCGCGGCCTCGGGTCGGGCCTCTGAAACCTGGCACAGGTGCGTTCTACGTGGGCAGTTTCTCTGAGCGGGCGTTGTCCTCGGAGGTAAAGCGAGAAGCCACGCCGGCAGGTGATCATTAACCGGGAAGGCCCTGGGCAGGGGACACCGCTGTCCCGCCTGCCGCCACCCGGCGACTGCTTGCTTAAGGCCACCATGTTTTCCTCCCTCTGGGAAGTAGCCTTGAAACTCCCGGCTTGCCGTCCCGGCCACGCTTTTGTGCGAGGGTTGAACAAGCCACGGGGGCATCCGAACCCCAACGGACCTCGCCCTCGGGGAGAGTGGCGGGGGCAGGGCTGGCGAGCCCGCGGGTCAGGGCGCCAACCCAGCCGCCGGGCAGCGGGCGCTTACTCAGTGCCGTGCGGGTCACCCGCGTCTGGCTTCTCTGTGGGCAGCAGTTGGGACTTGTCTGAGTCAAGGGCAGCTCGGGGTTCTCCCAGGCCCTGGGGGCCAAGGAGTGGGTCTGGGGAGGGCCAGTGGCAGAGGCCCAGCCCTCAATGTGATCATAATCTGCAGTCATTACTTTAATAGCACTTTATAGGTGTAGGGAGTTTTACCGTCAGTTTTATGGACTGTTTCTCACCCACAGCCCCAGGTGGGGCCATCCAGCTTCCCTGCCGCAGCCGGGGGCACTGAGGCGGGTGCTGCCAGCACCCCTCAGACTCATTCCTGGCAGTGTCAGCCAGCAGCCTTGTGGCAGAGGCCTCAAGCGGTGAGGGGCGCCTGGGCCGGCGAGGAGTGGCATGGAACCCCGAGGCCCTGCTGCGGGGCCCACCATAGCCGCTGGCCGTGGCCGTGGCCATGGGCAGGGTCATGACTGGCCCACGCACCACCTGGCAGTGCCCACCCGAGGCACAGACCCTGCCGATGGGCACACGGATCTTTATCTCCGCAGGATGTGCTGCGGGGGCAGGCGCGTCCCTGCCCTGGGGCTCTGGCCCCTCGTCCATCGTGGCTCAGCTCTGCGGGCAGCTGTCAGCCTTACTGGGCACGTAGAGCTGCCCGCTGGGTGCCCAGCTGTCCCCCGGCCCCAGCGACGAGAGCTTTTCACTTGGGCGCGTGTGAATGGGTGTCGGCACTCACAGGTTCCTGCTGTGATGTCCGAGGCTGAGTGGCTCGGTACATGGGGAGAGCAGGAGAGGGGGTTCACTTACGCAGGGCCTGGGAGGGGCCCGGGAGGGCCCTGGGGTGTGCCTGTGCCCACTGGTCTCTGCATGCGTGGCACACACCTTTCCTTTCAGGCCCCTTAATTCACAGGACAAGCTGAGGGCCACACCCACGGCCACCCCTGCGGCCATCTGCTTTCTAGAAGCCTCTCCCAGCTCCCCTCCTGGCCCACCCCGAGGTGCACAGCCCCTTGCATGGGGAGCTCTCTCCTGTCCAGGCTTCCAACACCAGGGAGCTGCGCCCCGCCCCCGAAGCCCCCCGCCAGGGGAGAGGTCCGGCCCTCCCAGCGCGCCTCTCCCGGCCCCCAGCGCCCGCAGACCCCAGCAAGCGAGCGGGACCTGCTGACCGCGGGCCCTGCACGGCCCTGTGCGTGCTCCCGCGGGCTCACGTCAGGCAGCCCGGGGCGGGC